AAAAAATCAAAACCCGTATCTTTTAGTTTCCATCGCCCGCTGTTCTAGTTCGGGTTTGCCGTTAAGAAGCTTCAGCCACTGGCCCGCTGTCTCTCAACTCTCAAAACCCATATCGGCATATCATTTCAAATTGTTTTAATTTTTTTTTTTCTAAATCAATTAATCAAGGTCTGTAATTCTTGTTTTAATTTTTTTTTTTTTTTGGCTAAATCTATTTGAAATCAAGGTCTATAATCCTTGTTTTAAATTTTTTTTTGGCTAAATCAATTAATCTATCGAAATAATTTTTTTTTTTTTGGCTACATCTGTTTTAATTTATGATCTTTTTCATATAATTTTTATTTTATTTTATGAATTTTAGTTATAAATATTTGTGAAGATAATGACTGAAACAAGGCAGGATTTGTAAATAACTTGTAAACAAGATAATAAAATTGAAAATAGGTTATTGCAAAAAAAAAAATTAGGGCTTTTATATGAAAAAATATTGACAATATTTGAATTATTAAAATGTGCTTTCTAGACATTTTTGTAAATAAATTATTAAATTTAATGATATAAATTTACCATTTCATAAAATGTGACATTGTAACACTTAGAGTGACCAAACATGTTTTGCATGTTTTTGTTTCTGATATTTCCACAGCAAAACATTGTTTTCAAATGTGCTTATGAATTTTTTCCAAAACACTCCTATAATAAAAACACTGTTTCTGTTTTAGCCAAAAACAAAGCGCAAGCCAAACGGGTCCTAAAAGTATAGTGATGCATATAACGAAAAATATAAATTCAAATATTATTATTCAAGAAAGAAAGAAAAGAATATATATATATATATATATATATAGGAATCCCCGGTTAAGTTGAGGGTTTTTTTGACCAATAAATAAATATATAGGAATTTAATGCAAAACCCTACAATTCAAGGAAAGTTAAATGCTATTTACTGGATTAAAAAAATTATAAAAAAATTAATTTATTCAAATCGAACCCTAAGTACTTATACATGTGAATATTTATTTTCATTTGATTAGATGGTAACTTTTGTTACCATAGGGTTGCATCTTGCATCACATTGAATCAAGGTGTGTGTGTGTGTATATTGCTGGGGTTTTTATTATTTTTTTCTAAAAGACAAGAAAAATCTTTTTACTAGTAACAAATGGAATTCGAACCCACACTTAGCTGAATTTACGAAACAAGAATTATAATTTTGGGCTGGCATTGTTTAAGATTGATTTGATTTACTTTATCCTTTAAATGGAACCTGTAACTTTCATGGCTTGTTATCAAAGTGGTCACAAAAGCTACTTGATAGAATTTAGATTTAATTAATGTTGCTTAGTGCACGGATGATGTTGCTTAGTGCACGGATGAAAACTTACTTAAATAGACAACTAGTTGACTTAAAATTGTATACAATTACAACTAGATGAAAATTGTACTGTATATTTACTTTGCCTGAACTCTTTTTGTGAAGTTTTTGGGCTTTATGACTTGTTTTTTCAGCCCAAGTTGAAAGCACGATGTAATTGCCATTATAATTATACAATTTGCTTTAATTATTCGGGGAAAAAAAAAAAACTTAGATCAAAATTGATTTTTGACATAAAATATGCATTTCTTTCCGCTGGTCTGATAAGGTGGGGAGCATGTTATGGTACTACTTATAAATTGTCTTAGTCTTTGTGCCATTTTTTATATAACTTTCTTCTCACTTTGGTATTCAGAAGATTGAGAATTTTGGGCTTAGCAATCATATATTAAGAGAAATATTCGGAACATTGTAATAGCATGTACTTCCTTAAATGGCATAAAAAAATGATTTTGTTATAGAATACTAACCGGTTGGTCAAGTGACATTACAAGTGGTCTTAAAATTTGTAAAACATATAAGAAATCTTTCTAAACTAGTAGGCTATAGAATAATTCATTAAACATATATTTTTTATTGAATTATATTGATATTGGTAGAATTTCAGTGTTATACTATGTTTGGTGGAAAGGAATAATTGAGGAAGGATGAAATAGAGCAAGGAGGGTGGAAGCTTCTCTCCTCACCCATATACATTGAAAATAATAATAATAATAATAATAAATAAATAAAAAACACACACACTAATCTATAAATACAAAATATCATTTTTAGCCTTAGTCATCTACAAAATTATAAAAATTCAATTCCTTTATTTCCAATCAACCAAAATAAAGTATCATCTTGTCCTCTTAGTTATTCATTATATCTAACCAACCAAACAACGGTGTTGCGTTTGGTGTGCAAAAATGAAATAGAATGAGAATGAGAATGGAATGAAATGGATATTCTCATTCTATTGTTTGGTTGTAAATATAAAATGTTTAGGAATGAAATGATAATAATCATTCTAGTGTTTAGTTGGACCAACTTAAAATTTAGAATGAATAAATTTCAAATTGAGTTCTCCAAAATATCCTTCTTAGTAACAAATAAATTAAATTAACAAAATGACATTCTTTTATAATTTTTTTAAAAAAAGAATAAATGGTGGCAGTGGCAGTGGCGATGGTGGTGGCAATGGTGGAAAGCGACGACAACGATGTTGGTGGAACGCGATGAGAGTAGTGTGGTGGTGGAAGGAGATAGTGGTGTAGATGACGATGGTGAAAACCAATGGAAGTGACTGTGGTAGTGGTGGAAGGTAATTGGCGGCGGCGGCGGTGATGGTGAAAGGCGGTGGAGGTGGTAGAAGGCGATGGCAGTGATGGTGGAAAAATGAGTGGTAGTGGTAGAAGGCGGTGGTGGCAGTGAAAGGTAGTGGTGGAAGGCGATGGTTATGGTGAAAGACGGTAATTGTGATAAAAGGCGGTGGTGGAAGGCGGTAGTGGTGAAAGGCGATGGTGGAAGACAATGGTTGTGGTGAAATGTGGCGGCAATGGTGATGGTGGTGAAAGGCGATGGTAATGGTGTTGGTGGAAGGTGGTGGTGGGGAAAGGTGATGGCGATAGTGGTGGTGGTGGTAACAGTGGTGAAAGACGAATGTGGTGGTTGTTTAGGGTAAAGGAAGGCAGTGTCGGTGGTTAAAGACAGTAGTGGTGGAAAGCGGTGGGCGATGGTAGTGGTGGAAGGCGGCGGTGGTGCTGAAAAACAGTGGAGGTGATTGTGGTGGAAGGTGGTGATGATTTTTAAACTTGGAATAAGAGGATTTTTTAAGAAATTAACTTTTTTAAAAAAAAAAAAAAATTATTTAGGAATGAAATAATCATTCCATATATTTAATTATGAAATGAATTTTCATTTCAATAAAATAGTCATTCTCATTTTAAATTGTATAGTAAATAAAAGCACAGTTGAAATGGACATTTCATGAGAGCAACACTGCTTTAGCATTTTTTTTTTTCAACTATTTTCCTCTCTCTCTACCGCAGAGCATCAATAAAAAAATTAAAAAAGAAAAAGGTAAATATCATGGGTGGGCCACTGATTGACATATACTATGACATACTTAAACAGTACTTGTTTTTGTGATAGATCCTTTGCAAATGAAAATGAAATTATATAATTAATTTGAGTTTAATCTCAACTCCATTTTAGTTGTTGCCTAGAGTTGGCAGTTGGAACCTGCATGAGTCGCCACCTCCCTGAATAAAAGTTGTCCCCTTCTCTTTTTGACTCTAATTAAGCCTGCCCTACACCCATCCACACAACTAATATTCCATCTCTATCTCTCTCTAACTTTCTCTCTCTAGCCGCTCTTATCAGTGGGTAAGGTTGGTACTCTCGCAACGTCATTCATAGGTACGGCAATACCTCCCCACAAAAATAAAATATCTTATTACCATTTTGGTTAATAAATATATATATATTGGCACAGCTCAACCTTATGCTTATGACCATCAAAGAAAATATTATATCATATATACACATATAGAAATATATTCTGTATCGACGATCGTACCGTCCGCACTTGGATATGTCCTTCCCCGAATACTTTCTCCACCGCGTGAATGGGTCTACGTGTGACCTAACATGAGAAAATGACATTTCCACGTCCTAAACTGCCCCTCTCAACATCCCTTATTTACGCTGCACACTTTCTGTCCTTTTGCCGTACGGAGCTGTCATTATTTCTCAAAACACGCAAATACCCCTACCCCTTCTCACCAATTACCAAATTTTTTTTGAAACATTTAATAAGGTTCATAATATTTCAATTTAAAAAAACGTAATTTCAACTAAGTTTATAATTTCATGAATAATATTAGTCTTTTCAAGTTTCAACATTGTCCTTTCTCATTAATGACTTATAATGCTATTTTCTTATTCAAATACTAACTATGCCTTTTAGCTCTAATTTATAATTATTATCAATTTACAAAAATAATAAAAATCATATAATTTTAATTGCCACCACAATAAACAATTTCCTCAAATATTTAACAAGTTACTTAAATTTTAACCAATTATAATTGGAATAAATAAGTCCAAAAAATTCAACAAATTTTTTCCCATAAAGTGTAACTAATGGGAGATGAGCTTATTATACAATCTTTTTACTATTTTTTTTATAGTCTATTAAGATTAAAACATATTATTTGACTTTTTTTCTCACAACAAAGATTATTATTTTATCAATAAAAATTAATCGAGATGATATAATTTTTTTTTATAAAAAAAATATAGTGTTTGAACTTGATTTTTTCTTCTCCCAATAAAGATTATTATTTCATTAATACAAATTAATCAAGATGATGTAATCTCTTTTAAAAAAAGAGATATTAGTGTCCCAATAATATTAGTACGTTTGATTAATTTCTCAAAAATAATTATCAATTTTGTATTTAAAATCAACAAGAGATGATGACTGGAGAAATATTGGATTTCACTCTCAGGGGTCAATTATGTCTTTACACAAGAGGTAGGACATCCCCATACGGTCCATACCAAACTTTTTGAAAAAGCCAAAAGGACAATGTTGTAATTTTGAATATTCTTCTTCCTCACTCAGTTATCAACTGCCCCGCCCATATGCCAGTGTTTTTCTGTTAACAGTTGCATCAAATTCCTCCAACGTCTCTCTGTTAGTAATTTACCCATAGAAATTCCGAAACACCTCAAGTACATATACCTATGCATATATCTTGACCATCTTCACCATCGTATTCTCCTCCATTTCCTAAACCCCATTACCCGACTTTTCTTCAACACCCTTTTCTCAGCATCATCAACAGAGTCACCAACTTTCAGCTGTGAAATCCTCAAAAACCTTGGTCAAAGTCGTTCAAGACCCTAAATCTTCGATCTCTATAGCAATGAAGAAGCAAAAATCAAATGATGGGTTGATATGCAACCACTTTGATCGTCTCTCTGAGGAAATCATTTTATCGATCCTTGATTGTCTCAATGACAACCCACTTGACAAGAAGTCATTTTCTCTTGTATGCAGATCCTTCTATGGCATCGAGTCTCGGCATCGAAAAACCCTAAAGCCACTTCGTTCCGATCATTTAACCACGACCCTGAAACGGTACCCCCATGTGACCAAACTCGATCTCTCTCTGTGTCCTCGAATTACAGACGATTCACTCACTATTATATCGGTTTTTTGTAAGAAAATGTTAAGGTCGATCGATCTTTCGAGATCCAAGTTTTTTACTCATCTGGGTGTGTCGAATCTGGTTATGTATTGTCCAAATCTGGTTGAACTTGATCTGTCAAACGCGACCGAGTTAAGGGACACGGCTGCGGCTGCGATTGCCGAGGCAAAGAATTTGGAGATGTTGTGTTTGGCGAGGTGTAAATCGATTACTGATATAGGGATTGGGTGTATAGCTGTTGGGTGTAGGAAGCTGAGGTTGATCAATTTGAAATGGTGTATGGGTGTTGGTGATTTAGGTGTGGGTTTGATTGCTGTTAAATGCAAGGAAATTCGCAGTTTGGATCTTTCTTACTTGCCGGTAATTAAATTCTCTTTTTCTTTTGGATTTATGTTTCATTATTGTTGTGCTCTGTCTGTGTTCAACTTTTATAGTCTTCCGTCTATGATTTTTTTTTTTTTATTTATTTATTTTGTATTTTTGGTTATCTAATTTGAATCCAACATGCCTTGTAGGTATGTGTTTGCATTTCATTCCTGATTAGTTTTTCCTTGGCCTTAGTCAAATAGATGCTTTAAATTCATTCCATGGTATGTATGATTAGTGGAGATGCTATGTCATTTTCTTTTTTGAAATATTGGAATCTATGCTTTATGTTGAAAGATTGTTGTTTCTATTTTTGGATTTTATTGATTTTCATTTGCTACAGTTGTGTCCATTGATTTAATGATTGAGTAAGCCAATGGTTATATTTGTGTTTTCTTACTCTCATTTCGTTTGCATCATATGTCAAGATGATCACTATTTTACATCATGTCTAAAGATTATATGTATCTGTCGATTCTGTTATGTTGATTTCTTATGTTAAAAATAATCTTGGTAGTAATGGTCATAATAGTTGGCATGCATATATTGAAATTGGATGTGCAATGGAGTATCACATTGCAACTCAATCTTATTGCCTTTCCATTTTCCATTTTCATAATCCTGCTGCGCGGTGCTAAAGTTCGCCATGATGTCTGTTTAGCAGGTTCATGTATATGAACTGAAATCTGACAAATGTGGATAAACGTTTAACCAAATAGAAAATTTTTAAGTTTTAGACGGTGACTCAACAGGCTAAATCCAATTTTTTTTCTCTTTTTTTTTTTTCTCCTAAATTTCTCTGGCTATATGTGGTCCATCTTTTAGCTGAACAAGTCTTTGTCCATCTCTTTCTTATTTACTACTGGATGTACTGTGTAAAAAACTTGTATGGGTTTTTCTTATATGTTTTCTTGTAGTGCAGATTACAAATAAATGCTTACCACCGATCTTGAAATTACAACATCTTGAAGATTTGGTCCTAGAAGGGTGCTTCGGTGTTGATGATGACGGCCTTGCAGTCCTCAAACAAGGGTGTAAATCGCTAAAGGTATCTCTTTTAAAAAATTAATTGAACTTGTAATGTCCTGACATATCCCTCTTTTCTTTTATGAAAAAATTGCATCACTTTTTCTTTTTTCTTTTTCCTAGTTAATAGCATCACTATTCATATATATATATGTATATATATATATTTCCTAAATAACTATTCATAATTATTATATCTGAAATCCAAGCATGAAGAAGTCTCAATCAAAATTATCTATTATGGGTTATGTGTGTAACCCAGTGTGTGCAAAAATGATATGACCTTTCACATTATGTTGGGGAGAGTTACCCATTGGGGCTCTTAAGTATTCTATTATTTGTTCTCTCTTTAGTTGGGGTATGGGGAGAGATTGTTCTTCTGTAGAGGAGTTTTTGGATTTTTTGGGGTCTTTAGATCCTTAGGTTTTCTCTTTTCTTTTGCTCTTGGTTCTTGTACAGCCCTTGGGATGCGTTCCCCTCTTGAACGCTTTCTAATACAATTTTACTTATCCAAAAAAAACACATTACGTTGCATAAAGTTGCTGCTTTGGGACTCGAACTAAAGTTGTCACGCCTGTTAACCTGAGCTTTTACCAGTCCACTAAGCAATGACCTCTCATTAAATATTAGTTTATGCTATTTGAAAAAAAAAAATTTGGTTATGGTAAGCATGAAGTTGTAAGGCCAACCCAAGTAAAGGCTTACAGCCAAATGAAGGAAATGGCATAACTGATTCACTGTTTACATTACATACATAAATTTTTTTTGATAAGTCACTGTTTACATTACATATTCCCAGCAACATTGCAAAAAGCACAGCTTAAGGTACCAAATTTACTTCTGTAGTAAACATTGTCATTGAATGTATATAATTGTACATCTTTTGGTTTGTTTATTTAATATGATGTAAAAAACCTAGCAATTATATCCAGGAAAAGTTTTATTTGCATCTGATTGAAATTCAACTACCATTCTTTTGAAAATAAGTATTTGATCATTAACTGTTAACTTTACGTTTCCTTCAACAGACACTGGATATGTCAAGTTGCCAGAATGTCAGTCATGTAGGCTTGTCTTCTTTAACAAGTGGCACTGTATGTATACAGCAACTTATCTTAGCGTACGGCTGTCCTGTAAGTTTCTTTAACTCCGTTGCCTTCCAATATTGAAAGGTTCTTTTTTCACTTATCTTATACAATTTGGTGGTGCTTCAGGTAACTCCTGCTCTTGCTGATAGTTTGCAAAAGCTTTCCATGTTGCAATCAATCAAACTAGATGGTTGCATGATCACTTGTTCTGGACTTAAGTCTATAGGAAATTGGTGTGTATCTTTGAGGGAGATAAGCTTAAGTAAATGCTTGGGAGTTACAGATGAAGGTCTCTCCTCCCTCGTGACAAAACACAAGGACTTGAGGAAGCTAGATCTCACATGTTGCCGCAAGATAACCTATGATTCGATTTCCCACATTACAAATTCTTGCACCTCCCTCACTTCCCTCAGGATGGAGTCATGTACAATGGTTCCAAGAGAAGCTTTTGTATTGATTGGACAGCATTGCCATTCTCTTGAGGAACTTGACCTTACAGATAATGAAATTGGCGATGAAGGTACCCTTTCTCCATACAATAGTTCATGTTGGAACTAGAGTATCTATTGGCGTACTAATACCATTTGTGCATGCAGGTCTGAAGTCCATCTCAAGATGTTCCAAACTCTCGAGCTTGAAACTAGGAATCTGCCTTAACATAACTGATGAAGGGCTTACCCATATTGGAATGCGCTGTTCAAAACTTATAGAACTCGATTTGTACAGGTTTGAGACTTGCAATCTTGACTTTTATGGGTTTCTAAGTTTATTTTAAGGAAATATGGCCTATGGTGCTTAGTGTAGTGAACTTTGACTTCTTTGGTACTTCCTATGAGTGTCTTTGTAATAAATAGAGAGTAAAATGGTAAATTTAGAAATAATTGAATTAAGGGACATTTCTATTACTACATTATACATATTAGGATATTTATCCTTACATAATTGGTTAAATTAAGATTTAAAAGTTTGCCTAATTAAAAAATATTTTTAATAAATTAATAATTTTGTAAGATCAAAGGTATGAAGGAATCCTACATTCTCCAATTATGGCGTTGAAAATTTTGTGTTGGTGTAACACCTGAATAATGCTCAGGGATTCTGCATAATTAGGCAAGTTAAATTTAATTTGAAATAGTAACTGAGTTTTGTAGAGATCATTGATTTGAAGTGATTTATTATTACTCCATTGTCACTTCTCAGTGCCACCTTTTTCTGTTCTTGCATAATCATTTGCATGTGGTTCTTTTATATAGGTCAGCAGGAATAACAGACTTGGGCATTTCAGTAGTTGCTCGTTGTTGCACTGCACTTGAAATGATCAACATAGCCTATTGTAAAGATATTACTGACAGTTCCTTATTATCATTGTCAAAATGTTCGAAGTTGAGCACACTTGAAAGTCGAGGATGTCTTCTTATCACATCTTTCGGTCTAGCAGCTATTGCTGTGGGATGTAAGCTACTCACCAAGCTAGACATAAAGAAGTGCTACAACATTAATGATGCTGGAATGATTCCACTCGCGCGCTTTTGTCATAAACTTGGACAAGTAAACTTCGTCTCTTTTCCTTCCTTGTTCGGGAATACAACGGGCTGACTGCAAAGGTTGACATCTAACAGTTAGAGGTTCACTTATTTGTATGCAGATAAATTTGTCATATAGCTCTGTCACAGACGTGGGACTCTTGGCACTTGCCAGTATCAGCTGCTTACAGAGCATTACCATCTTACACTTGAAGAATTTAACTCCAAGTGGACTAACTGCTGCATTATTGGCATGTGGAAGGCTTACAAAGGTGAAGCTCCATGCATCCTTTAAATCATTGTTACCAAAACCTCTTCTCCAGCATCTAGAAGCCCGAGGCTGTGTTTTTCAATGGAGAGATAAAGTGTTTCAGGTATGTCCCTTTTACTTGTCACGGTGTCCACCTTTTCTTCTTTTTTCTTATAATTGGAGTTTTGGGGGATTAAGCCTAATTTGTTTGTCGTTATTGTTAGAATAGGGGAAAATATGAAAATCAACTGTCCCTTAACAACTGTTATTTTAGTATTGATGAATGATGATTGTATTCATTAGTGTACTTTCTCTATATGATATTTCTACACAAATAGAGGTTCATATGTTGTAATCTAAAGTAATGGATTCTTAGTTGTTATTCAAATGTTAGTTTGCAAGTGCAAGGCTTGGACAATCATGTCATGCCAACCTAGAAGCATGCCAAATTAGATGGACTAGTTTATACAACTATGATTGTCATTATAGTACTTACCAAAAAAAAAAAAGAAATCATTATAACATATTTTATATAATATATATGTGCAAGGTTATGTTATGATATTGGAATTACTTTGTTTGTGATTGGCAGGCTGAATTAGATCCGATTTGTTGGAAACTACAGCCGCAAGATATTTATTAAAGATGTGCGAAAGGTTCTATCAGTTGAGAAGGTTCACTCTCTTGTAGATGAAGACCCACTCTGAAAAAAGGCAAAGCCTAGAGTGCATGTATAAGAATTTGGGGTCTGTTCCCTTTTTCACTTACAAAATTTGAACACGTGGCCTTCAATCAAAGGTACCAAGAAGGTCATGAGAATAATTTGTTTGGAAGAATTATGTTGTCCAACCTACTCTGTAATTTACTGTCTAATTTAAATACATGTCGAATAATTTGTTTGGAAGAATTGTGTTGTCCAACCTACTCTGTAATTTACTGTCTAATTTAAATACATGTCTATACGGTTTTTATATTCTTCAAAATTGTTCTGTAAGCAGAGGAGCCATTTTGCAACTAGATGCATATGCAGTTTCTACTGTGTGGGACCATTTTGTTGCATGTCTTTGGAATAATTATATATAGAAGTCAAGGTTTTGAAAAATAACAATCATTTTTATACTGTATCCTCCTGTGCTTATCTGCAATGTCGCGGAGAGGTCACATGGGACAGCAAAAATATTCCTTCAAGAACTTGGAATAAATCAAGTTCTTAGCCATGTGCTCAATCATGCATATGCATTACTTTACTTCACAGTTGCTAACCTGAGCACGATAAAAGGTCAAACATGCATGTGCATTTGTCTGTGCGGAGAGAGAGAGAGAGTGGCATATGCAAAACGAGGTGGCATCTCTTCACATGAATAACATGCAGATCAAGCGAGAATTTTGTGCAGAACTTGTACTACATAGAATCTGACTCGAGAATTTGTGGGTGTGCATAAGTGTGAATGATGTGGACCGTTAAATGCGATACAGAATCCGAATTTGAGAATTTGTGGGTGTGCATCAAAACCACGAGGTCTTTCTAGAAAGTGATTATATCTGTTCCACTAGACGTTTTTGGTCCGTTGTCTGCATCAGTACCATTTAATGATGGTAATAGAGTTTTAGTTGCACCAGTGATGACCGGTCCAGAATTCCAGTCACCCCTTCCTCCTCACTCGTCCAATGACTGTTTCTAATGTGGTTGGTAGCCATTGACTGTATCTACACAGAGTATAGAGATAAGTTTGGCTTACAAAGTTGATATCAGCCCTGGTTTGGATTTGGAGGAGAGACAATCTTTATGTGAACACAATTTTTTACTTCATTTGATCCCATTTTTAAACTCAAAAAATCGAGTGAAACACTGCATCCTCATCAAGCAACACAGCTTCTTCATCCTCACTCCCATCACCATCACCATCACCACTACCAACTTGAACTCCATTCTATCTTTTCTCCAACCTCTTCAATTCCCTCTTTCTCTCCTCAAAATTAACACCACTTTTTCTATATTTCTTTAATTCAACTTTAATTTCATCCACATTCTTCATTTCCTTGAAACCCTTTTCTAATTTCCCATTTTTGATCTTTGATTCACCATCAATTTCAACTCTACTCTTACTTTCTTCAACCCAGGACTCTCTCTCCCCCATCAACAGAAACATCCCCTTTTCTATCACCTAAATTCACACCAGTCTTTACAACTTCTTCAACCACCACATTCTTACCACCACCACCACAGCCAGAAACAGCCAAAAACTCGGAATCGGAATCAAAAGCACCAACAGACCCGGAATTCCCAAAACCCTCAACCTAGCCCTATCATTTTTATCCCATTTTTTCTCTGTTCTCAGTCAAAGACAAACCACTACCTCAGACTCCTAGCCGCCTTCTTTTTGACTCATTGTACCGTCTAACTTCGGCTACTGCCACTTTGCTATAATCCATCACTCAACATCATCCAAACCACCTATCCTTCTCTAACAGAGCACACATCCGTGAAAATCAAATCAAATATATATAATATTATATTTTGCAATACCACACACACTCTCACCATCTCACTCAGTGTGTGTGTGTGTATATATATACACCGGGGGATTATACATACGTGTGTTTTCTCTCCCTAAGAGCAGGTTCAGGGCTCGCTGAAGTCCAATTTCTGCAAGTCAAAGGCTTTTTGGACGCACAATGCCCTAGCTAAAATAGTGGGGCCCAATTTCCCTCGCGGGCCGGCTCACGGTATTCAGTGACCCGGCCCGCAATCGCTGAATTATTTTTTTTAATTTTTTTTCGGCATCAAAATGGCGTCGTTTTTGGTTGTCTGTTATGTTTTGCTTAAGATACTGTTTGGCAGTTTTTTTTATAAAAAAAAAAACCTAAAAATAGGTTATTTTGAGCTTTTCTTTTAAACTAAAAAATAAAATAAAATTTATTAAATAAAAAATATATTGTTTAGGCTTTGTCTGTGAAAAATAAATTTTATTTGGGCCAAAAATAAATTAAAACTGCTTTTTTTTTTTTTTTTCCCCTTAAAATTTTTTTTTATATATTTGTTTGCTTTAAATTTTCAATGTGTTCCGCAAATAATGCATTTGGCCGTTAAAGCACTGTTTAACTGACACAAATAGTGCCTTAACGGCTATAATTTTTTTAAAAATATATAAAAAAAATTTTAAAAAAACTTTTTATAAAAAAAATATTTAAAATTACAAATTCATCTACTTATTTCCATAGGATTTTGTAATGATTATTTTCTTATTCCAATTCCTTATTTTTAATCTTAAAAAACCATTACATAATAAAAATTTTAGTACACGAAATGTCGTAACATCTTAAAAGCAAACAAAATGCAACATAAATTAAACATTTTCATCACCATCGCAGTTCCACAAATTTTCCATCAAATCATTCCTCAATCGCGTATTTGCCTCTCTGTTGCGAATCTGAAGTTAGCGAGATGTGTACCGCTGAAACCGATGGGCATTGACTTAAAGTGGGAATCGGGATTGCATCCTCTTGTGGCGAAGTCCATCTTCCAACATTTGTGTGACGTTCATCTTCAATGATCATATTGTGAAGGATGATGCACGTTTTCATTATGAGGCGCAAGTCATCTTTCTCCCATTAATGCATTAGTCCTTGTGTTATTGCCTACTTGATCTGCAATACCCCAAAAGCCCGTTCCACATCTTTCATGCATACCTCTTGTTGCTGAGCAAACAATTTTTCTTTTCCAGTGGTTGGGTACGGGATGGTCTGCATCAAAGTTGCCTACTTAGGGTATATACCATCAGACACGTAATACCCCATTCTATAGTGATATCCATTCACTACATAATTAACCAGAGGTAATTGGCCATTGATGATACCGTTGAATACTGGGGAATGATCCAATACATTTATATCATTGTGTGATACGGCATTCCAAAGAATGCATGCCAGATCCACAAATCTTGTGAGGCAACTGCTTCCAATATGAGAGTATTCTTGCCAGATCGTCCCCTATGCGTGCCATGCCACTCCACTAAGCAATTCTTCCACTCCAAGTGCATACAGTCGATAGAACCAAGCATACCCGAAAATCCTCTCTATTCCCCTTCTCTGCATACACAGCAACAATAGTATTACAAAATGCCTTCAAGCATTTAATGGCAGTGCTCTTGTCGATTTTAATATACTTATCATAGTGATCGGTTGCACAACCATATGCGAGTATACGAACAACAGTTGTCATCTTCTGTATAGAAGACAACCCCAGACGACCAGTTGCATCCTTTTTTTGGACAAAGTAATCATCATAAACTTTGACATCATTAAGGATACGAAGAAAAAGTTCTCGTCGCATCCTGAATCGCCTGTGAAAGTACTCCGGTGGATATGTGCAATTCTCGTTGAAGTAATCTTTCATTAGCTGATAGTGACTTACCTCTCGATCACAATGAATGTACCACTTCTTTTTACGGACTTGAAATATTTGCTCAACTATCTCTGGATTTACTGAATTCATAATCTCATAGAATTCGTCTTGATCCTGTTGAATCAACGCCCCAAAAGAATCATCTTCCAAAGAGGATGACGAGGAAGATGAAGAATTAGAGTCTGCCAAAGGAAAAGTTTGTGATGCCGAAGCCATTGGAATTTCAAAATTAAAAAAGATGAATGATGATAGTTTGCTACAATGGAGAAAGATGAATGTAGTAATGAGTTTCAGATGAGCAAATGAGTATTCTTTATATAAGATGAAAAATATAACCGTTACGAATATATCCGTTTAGGAAAAGTTAAAAAAATATTAATTTTAATTTTTTATTATTATTATTTTTTAAGAGCAAAAATTTAGAGAGTCTGATAAAGTGCATATTTCTGGAGAGTGAAAGTTGACGTGGCTCTTAGAATTACTGACGTGGCTATGAAAAAAACTGATGTGATATTTTTAGAGAGTCCAAATTCGGAGAGGCCGGTGCAAATGGCTTAAAGAAAAGTCTCACTTAATTTTTCGAGAAAGAGTTTGTGTTCTTAAATATGAGCATTGAATGAAGGGAAAGTAAATGGGGTTGTTGAACCCAGCTACCACAACCGACGATCTGGGACAGATCTATAGTGGATTTAGTGGGGCCCGAATTCTTTTGTTTTTGTATTATATGTTTCTTAATTTTTATTTTTTTTAATTACATATTTATAAATTGTTAACATTTTTTTTTTGGTTAAAAATAAATTTTTAACATTGTTCTTACAAAAAAAAAAAAAAAAATCACTATATAAATTTGTCAGTTCTTATATAGGATTTTAGGTCTGCGGCAACCAACTTTCAGTTGCTCTTGTGAGGCTACCCATCGTCAAAAATATAATTTTATCTCTTTCTGATTAGAATTGTGTTTTGGAGAACAAATCTACTGATCCGAAAATGAAACACAATGGGCGTTGGTGTTAATTGAGCTCACATCCTTTGCCTTTTCATTTTGATTTATTTCTCAAGGAATGTAACTGATGAAATTTTTATTCACCAGAGACGGGCTAAAATTGCATTACTGTTTTTAAGGTTATAAGCATTATGTTTGGTATGTGTTGTGTCCATTCTTTATAATACTTTTGATGTACATGGCATGGTCAATGCTATAACATGACGAATTAGATCCATTTCCTTACTTTTCTTTTCTGTGCACAATCCAAACGTTCACGCATTATGGAAGCTGATGTTTTATCAAACAATAGTCTGATTTTGAGAAGTCAAATTAAAAATTTATCAGAATGACTTGATGTGTAGTAAATTATTGAATATACAGTACACCAGAGAATAAGCAATGACAACTTTCGATCCTATGAAAATTTGTTACTTAGGGTATGATCAATACCATACAATCAGGGATAGATTATCAAGAGCAGAGCGAGGGGTTCAGGCTGTTCAGCCGCCATTGATTTTTATTTTGTTGGCTCTATTTGTTTGTTTGTATGTAAAATATTTTTAAAACATTATTTTTTAGATAAAATATTTTTATTTTTTTTATATTTGACAAAAGTTTAAGCCGAAATTGAAATTTAGCCCATCTAGTAAGATGTGTAAAATAATTTGTTTAAAATTATGATAATAGATAAGTCCTAATAGATAATAGACGTATATATAGATGAGTCCTAATTTGCTAGCATAGATACTTATGTGAAACTTATCCAGAATAATTGTAAATGTAGTCAATGAATCAATTAATGTAAATTACTTTATTTATTATAATAACATAAAATATATATATTAATTAAAGGTCTGACGAGTAATGTTTTGACAATGGAAGTAGATTTATTATTATTATTATTATTATGGTCACTAGCGTTTAACACCTTGTATAATATGTATATATTATCTCCGTCTCAAATTAGATATTTTATTTGGGGATCCATGATTCACAAAGGACATTTTTTTTTTTTTGGATAAAGGGAGTAATTCATACAATTCTTTATGGGTTCGGAGGATTCCGTTTCATTTTAATGAAGTAATAAAAATAGTAAAAAATTTAGTTAATGTAAAATGACTATTATGGTCTTTATTAAACAAATTCGAAACGTTATTTTTCGCGAATTTAAATAGTAAAATATAGTAAAGAAAATTTAGTTAAAAATTAGTAAAAAATTCAGTTAAAAAGGGATATTTTTGGTATTTAATATAATTAATTAGTCATATGCAATTAATGAGAGACATATGATTTGTTAACCCTACTTTTTTAATTGTTGGCTATCGAAAAATTTTATTTTACAATATTTTTAAATTTTTAAAAAAGTCATATACTAAAAGTAAAAGAAAATAATTATTTGTTCAAAAAATAAACCTGATGGGCGTTTTATCATTTAAAATTAAACAAATAGTTATGTGTTAAGCCAGGATTCTCCTGGATCGTTTTTTTGGGTCCCAAAAAGTAAAAGGAGAGAGAGTTTACTAGTTCTTCTAGATCATTGACACCGAAAATTGGATGAGCGGATGAGCTTGTATGGAGAGATTCTTCTAGATCACTTATCAGAGCTGCAGCTACCTGGAAGGTCCCAGTCTTTGTTTATGTCCACGTGGTGACAACATATCAAATGTCACAATGACCTTTATACCCTCAAAATGAGAGAGAACCCAACCGGTCTCTGCCATCTGTAAATATGTTAATGGCTGTGCTTGAAATCTTTGAAGTCTATGTTGTAGTAGTTAAAAGTCAAGACTGTAAAAGTTTAGGAGGAAAACAAGTCTTTCATTCCAAAATCTTTCAACAGACACGTGCCACAATGTTTGTATTCGGTATTCCCCAATAGATTGAATGTCGCTCCAGACTTTCCCAATAAGAATAATTTCACCAGTGAATCTCATTTGGGTGGTGTGTGTGACACCCTGTTCACTGCATTGAAAGCTATAAATTTCTGTGTGTGTGTGTATATATATATATATATATATATATATATATATTGTCATATATTGTTTTCGTTCATTTACATCAACATAATAATTTTAAATCGTCAGAGTTTTACATTGACAATTCACAAACAATATAAGTACGTTCAATTTTTTATTTTAATAGGATTATAGCATTATAACATAGTGTAATATATTATAGGACTGTTGCATTTTTAATAGGGTTAAATGTTAAAATTCTCTTTATAATATATAAAATGTGTAATTCACCTCTATTGTTCATAAAATTCCCCTATATTTTAGGGTTTGTGCAAATTGCAATTCACCTCTATTGTTCATGAAATTAGGTCAATTTAGTAATTGAAATGTCCAAACTACCCATATAATAAAATAAAAAATATATAAAATACAATAATAAAAAATCAAAATATCCACCCTCTACTCTAATTTATTTTTTCTTTTTTAGGAATGTCTCTCTCTCCCCTTTATTTCTCTATGTGTTTTCACTTTTTAGTAGGACTCTCTTTCTAGCAACTTTCATATTTGTTTGACGTCTCTTTATCTTCTCTTTTTCAGCAACTTCCATATATTTATTAATTTTGTTATATATATATATATATATGAGATGCAAAATCTTCAAGAGAGATGCAATCAACCCATAGTAACTAACTTTAGAAGCACAATCTTTCTCTTTCTTTCTCTAACATCTGGGAGTACTTAGAAGCACAATCTTTCTCTTTCTCTCTCCAATATATAGGAGTGGGCGTGGTTGCAATGGTATATATAACAATGTTTAAAAAATTTAGGGTAAAGTGCAGAAAACCCCTCATCAACTTGTAACTTTTTCTAGTAAACTCGTCTAATATTTTGTCAAAGAACCCTCTCGACTTGTAGCCGTTTCCAATAGTCTAATTTTTTAACCAAAAAAACTCCCATCAACTATCTAAGAGATAAAAGAGTTGATATTTGGACCAAAATACCCTTTTATTTAAATCTTAATTTTTCCGAACTTCAAAATTCATATCTCACAAACCATACATCCAAATATTGCAAGTAATATATGCACGGAAAACTTCTAAAACAAGGATTCCAAGAATATAAGATTTGTTTAACAAAACTTTATAACCAAAGAAAAAATAGACAATCTAAAAATCTACTATAACAATCTTATTTTATTTTATTTTTTATAAAATATTTGCAAGAAAATTTTCAGAATTATTCATTTTCATATGGAACATAACATATAAAAAAATTAGTCCCAATAGAGACCGAATATTTATTTTTATTTTTTTTAAATGGTGAGTTTATAAAAAAAAAAAATGAAAATACCTTAACGCAAAATATGATACCTCATGAAATCGATTTCTGTTGGGACTAATTTTTTTTATATATTCGGCTCCATATGTAAATGAATAATTCTGAATTTTTTTTGCAAATATCTCAAGTATTTTATTTTTTAAAAATAAAATAAGATTATTAGAGTAGATTTTTAGATTGCCTATTTCTCTCTAGTTATGAAGGTTTGTTGTACAAGTCTCATAAATTTTAAATGTACGGTTTGTGAGATAAAAAATTTTGAAGTTTAGGAGAATTAAGATTTAAATAAAAAGACATTTTGGTCCAAATATCAATTCTTTTACCCTCCTTTAGATAGTTGAGGAGGTTCTTTAGTAAAAAATTAGACAAGGGAGATTTATTGAAAAAAGGCTACAAGTGAAGGAGGATCCTTTGGTAAAAAAATAGACAAGAGAATTTACTGACAAATACTACAAGTCAAGAGGAATTTTTGGAATGTAAAAGCTACTAGTATCAAAATGATACTTTCGCTCAATCACTATAACATCCAATCACATGCACCGATGAACAACCAAGAGGGGACACTTGAACTTATGCATCTCAAGATCCATGGTCATAAACTAAAACTTAAGCAAATTGAAATGATGCCAAAACCAAAAACCAACACAATATTTATCTTATTTCAAAAGTGTACACAACACATATTGAAAATAATTATCTTCAGGAATATCAATAATCTTTATATTTCAACTTCTACAAAATAAGCAAGTTCATTGTTTGTCATCTCCATGTCTTCACCAATTAAATATTTCTTGGTATTAGTTTCGTGTTATATATATATATATATATATATATATATATATATATATAATCTTGAAATTTTACATAATTTTTTTTATTGAAGTAGTAATTTTCCAACTATAATACATGTTTTTTTTTTTTTTCCTTTTCTTGTCAAAGTAGAGATTTTTCGACGAGAGTTAATTGGTTCTTGCTCAAGTTGAAATAGACGCGATGAAAATGTGTAGTAATATTCTATACGTAGAGAGAGAAAGAGAGATGAGACACGGGTTAGAGAGAGAAAGAAAAAGAGACATTTTCTTTTTTTTTTTTTTTTTATCTTACATTAGAAGGGCATTTTAGGATTTTTATAAATAAAAAAATTGGTCAAAATTGATTATTAAGGAATAATTTACTTTAAAGGTTAATAATACTGGGATTTATATGCACTTAATTTTGTTTCTTTTACAGCGAGAGAGTTTTTTTACACTTAATCCTTTTTAATAAAAATTTGTTGTATAACTATTATATTATTATTATAAAAATGATACATATGGTTATATAATGTGTTGCATTGTAATATAATCTGTTGTATAGCTAATTTACTAAAAGACCGAGGAAAAAAACAAAAAAAAATTTCTAAAGACCGGAGAGGTTCAGGTGTTGTGTGGAGTCCTATAATGTATATAGGCACACTGCTATGCATATGGTGTTACACGTGTGCTGGTGCACTGGGTGGTGGTGTTCTCGTATGTAGAAAATGAATTCTCCTCCCGTTTGATTCAGCCGCCAAGTCAGTCAAACCCACAAACTCTGACCAGAAATATTTTCCACGGTCAAATTAAGTTCTCTGAAGAAGTTTGATCAAGACCTTAACCACTGCGCCTTCTCTTTTAACCCCCTCCCCCACCCCCATCCCTTCTCTATAATTTCCATCTCTCTCTCTCTCTCTCCCTCTCTCATTTCTCTCTCTAAACTACAATACATGGGTTCCTCGGGTGGCAGCAGATTGAACACTTCTCCTCCCACCTTCTCTTTTTCATCCCAATTCTCATCTTTCAGTGACCTCCTTGCTAGTGGAAATAGTAATGAAGATGATCAGAAAACTACATTCGGTTGGGGACTTTCCGATCGAAACGACGTCGAAATTCCGAAGTTCAAGTCTATTCCACCTCCCTCACTACCCCTTTCTCCTCCTCCTGTCTCTCCTTCATCTTTCCTTGCTTTCCCTCCTAATACTAGTAGTCTAAGCCCCACTAATTGGCTCTTGGATTCACCTGCTTTCCTCTCTTCTAATGTAAGCATATAATCTAACTTTTTTGTATACTTTTTCATGGTCTCATATATATATATATATATATATATATATGTTATGGTACTTGTTTTCAATTTTCTATGACTTTTTATTGTTGCTGGACTAATGGGTTTCTGTTTTTTGTTATGTTTGTTTAGATTCTTCCAACACCAACCGCTGGGGCTTTTGCTGGTCTGGACTTCAAGGATGAGGAAAAGCGCTTTTCTGATTTCTCTTTCCAACCCCAAACAAGGCCTAATTCTTCATCTTCAGCATCCTTATTTCAGTCATCTGCCAAAATGGATTCATCGGTATGTTTCATTCTTTCCTGCTGTTAAATTTGTATGAGTAATTTGAATTCTCTAATTCACTATTTTTGTATCTATTATTTATGTTTGTGTTGTCAAATTCTTAAATTTAATCGCTATTTCGTCTCTATTACATGCGTGTGTTGTTCTTGAGATTCCGGAGAAGGCCTTTTGTGATGGTTTGTCCATGCACTTTTCAAAAGTCAACCTTGTTGAATTTCCCGTTTTGTCACTACAAAGTAATGTCAATTTGTCTCTATTTAAATAATAACTATATGTGGAATTATCCTTGTTATACAAAGTTACAAATTAATTGAGACGAACAGTGCAGTCTCACGCTGTTAAAGGGATTAACTCTTGTTTGTTCATTTAAAAAGCAAGTCAAACTGGACCATAATTGTGAGTTTACTTATTAAATGAATCATGCTTAAAAAATCATAGACTTTGGTAAAGTATTATGACCACGTGCACAAGGACTGAGTCATAATTTTTATTCAGAAGGGCACATTGTACATAATAAATACATATAAATTAATATTTATGTAGTATATATACAAATAGGTAAATAAATATAGATAGAGGTTGATATTTTTGGAATGAGGTAAATTAATAAATTACATATATAAAATATAATGAAACAATTTAAGAAAACATATAAAGTATGCCAGGGAAGGAGAAATTTGAGAGGGGCACTTTTACACATTTTCAAAAAATATATAGCTGTTTTAGGAAAATACATATATATATATATTAAATAAGGAAAGGAAAAAATCCAGGAGGGGCACGTGCACCCGATCCTATACTGGCTCCGTCACTGCACACGCATAATCATTTATTTATTTATTATTATTATTATTTTTATTTTGAAAGATCTTCATAGACACAGATTGATATAGAGGAAGAAAATAAAGTATAAATATGAAAATTTATTTTTTTATTCTGAAAGATCTTCATAGCCACTGATTGATATAGAGGAAGAAAATAAAGTATAAACATGAAATACATTAAAATTTTATTAAAAGTTTAAATGATATTTTTAAAAGCTCAAAAGACTTGAGTCATCTCACGGTGCCGAGTCCAAGATCATTATTCTAAATTTGTTACAAGTCCAAATTGAAACACCAAGTTCAATTACAAATGAAAAAGCACGAACAATCTGGAGTTTAGTTTGACTGAGATTCATTTGTACTGTTAATGCTTCAAAATTGCAAATCATAATTTTGTTTGGAGTATTATAAAATTTTAAATTGAAGATGGGGAGGTTAAATATGCTTTTCATTGAGAGATGTAAAAAAAAGTTCATTGAAGTATGAAAGATATTCTTTTCGGTAATTTACATTATGAAAAGATCCAAAGTTGGAATTAATTTATTACATTTATATATTCCTTTGTTAAAAAAAAAATATTGCCTCTAAGAAAACCTACATAATTATCCTTGAACAGGAAGAATCTCTCAAAGGAAAACCAGAAGGATGGAGTTTCAATGAATCAACAAAACAAACAGAATTCACAACAGAGAGAACCAAAGTGAAACCAGAATTTGCCCCGAGTCAGAGTTTCTCCCCTGAAATCACCACAACCCAAACAAACATGCATAACAATGCTGCTGCTCTCCAGTCCAACCATGTCCAACACACTCAACCATCAATGGGTATTAGAGAGCAAAGAAGAGCAGAAGATGGATATAATTGGAGAAAATACGGACAAAAACAAGTGAAAGGAAGCGAAAATCCGCGCAGCTATTACAAGTGCACACACCCTAATTGTCCAACCAAGAAGAAAGTCGAGAGAGCTATTTCGGATGGACATATAACTGAGATAGTGTACAAGGGAAGCCACAACCATCCCAAACCTCAGTCGACTAGAAGATCATCTTCACAATCAATTCAACCTTCGGCATATGCCAGCTCAGAAATGTCGAATCAATCAAATTCACTACTTGGAAATGGACAAATGGAGTCTGTGGCCACACCAGAGAATTCTTCAGCTTCTTTTGGTGAGGATGACTTCAATCAAGGCTCTCCAATGAGTAAATCAGGAGAAGACAATGAAAACGAACCGGAGGCCAAAAGATGGTAGGCTTAAAACTTTGTTAGTTTGGAGTGCTTTGTATTAATGAAATTGGAATGTGTTTTAACTAATTCTTGTTTACGTTTGCAGGAAGGGAGAGAATGAAAATGAGGCTATATCAGCTTCTGGGAGTAGAACCGTCCGAGAACCTAGAATTGTTGTTCAAACAACAAGTGACATTGACATTCTGGATGATGGATATAGATGGAGAAAATATGGACAAAAAGTAGTCAAGGGCAATCCGAATCCAAGGTATACATTCTGTTTTATGAAGAATAAATTCTGATGGATACTTCTCTTATAGAGGCCATTTAAAACTTTTAACCAACACTGACTGTTATGAACTTGGTTTCTTATGCTCTGCAACTTTTCCTATCTGCAGGAGCTACTACAAATGCACGTATGTGGGTTGTCCGGTGAGGAAGCACGTTGAGCGAGCATCCCATGATGTGAGGGCTGTGATAACCACTTACGAAGGGAAACACAACCATGACGTTCCTGCACCACGCGGTAGTGGTGGTTATGCTGTGAATAGACCGTCCGGTAATGGCAACTGCAATGCGCCCATGGCCATTAGGCCAATGCCAGTAGCCAATAATATGAACCCTACAACAAATTACTCAAATCCCCTTCTCAATACAAGGATGCCAACAACAAAAGTTCAGGCACCATACACATTAGAGATGCTGCAGAGCCCCGGGAGTTTCGGATTCTCTGGGTTCGGGAACTCGACAGACTCCCACATGAACCAAGCACAATTTACAGATAATGGGTTCCCCAAAACCAAGGAGGAACCTAAGGATGACTTCTTTGACAACTTTCTGTGCTGAGATTCCTTGGGAGAAGATTCTGGAAACAATGAGTTTCATCAATGACTTTAGTTTTTGTAGTGTGTAACCGCATAGGATTTTGGCTATGTAAAGGATAGATCTCCTATAAAAGGAGTTGAGATTCATTTGTTCATTTGTTTTGAGGTCCTCTTAAGTTTAGAACACTGGGCCTCTTTTACTTTATGTTAGTTATATCATGTTCAATTCTTGCATTTTCATATTGCAGATAATAATTTGTTAAAAAGCCTCTATTTCTTGGTATTTCTTTTCATCTGTCATGCTTGTAAGATTTACACACTTGCAAGTTATTGCTAAATAATTACTACACGCTAATCTCTAAAGCGTGACTAGATTACTACAATTTTTCGCGCGGGCACACGCGCACAATTTTTTCTTAAATTTGAACAAAATTTTCAGCTTTGGGTAATAACATTAAGAAGACGGTTGTTAGGTGCATGAACGAGTTTCTGAATCATACCAGGGAAAAGATCCAACAATTCGTGACAATTTTTTAATTGACTGGACAACTTTTTGTGAGCAACTTCGGCACACATAAAAAGTCGCTGCAAAGATTATAGGGCAATAAAGAAAGAGAGAGAAAAAAATATAGAGAAAAAGAGAGAGAAGTTCCAAAACGACACATTTTAATTGAACAAAGTAACTTCATAACATGATGAAAGTTCTACATTGTGAATAACTGCACAGGGAAGGACAAAAATCTATCCAATCATGAATCACAGAGGAAGAAAATGGGTGACATCGAATCGACACTCGAAACAGGTATGAAGAACAACCGCAAAAGCCTATATGCAAAACAAATATACATAAACAATGTATGGAGTACGTGGACGACACAAATCAAGGAACAGAATACACACAGAATTGTCAAACAAAATAGATTACTTAGATGTAAGACCGGTTTGATAGTTTGTATCCTGAAATGATGGCAGAGACTGCCAGTACTAGGAATGCCAAGAATTCCATGCTAATTGCGGCTGCTGAGGAGTCTGTGAATATGTTGTCTGTCCCCTCTCTCATCCTATTTGTCATGGGAACCGCCGACGATGCTGCAGATATTAGCAGGTATGCCACAATCTGCAAACGCAGAACTTGCCAAATTCGTTAACATTTATTTAACACACGCACACATAAATATAATAATAATAACAATAAATAAAATAACATGAGTCCAAATATTAATGATAGTTACTATGTATAATATGCTATAACTAAACTTACAAACTAAGATAAATGAGGTAGTGAAGCAAATTTATATAACTGACTCAATTGAATTACAACATTTCCGTACATAGATTGGTAATTTTCAAATAAAAAAGAAATAGAAAAGGAACTTTCCACCAAATTTAAACTTCAATAATCAACTCCGGCAAATTATTTATATATGCATATAATAATATATACGAGAATACTTTTGCCTAGTTGCCACATGCCAATGATAACTAATAACGGAAAAAGTTGGAAGTAACGAATCCGGTTTGCCAGTTGTCATCATCATGAGCTTAACTCTTTCTGTTTTCTTGTTCCTTGTGATTGTAGAATTCACCAGAAATACAGGTGTTGTAGGTCCAGTGGGCGTATCATGAGTTGGGTCCAGTTTCAGACCAACTGTATAGCCGTCGGATTTACCTTTTTTTTTTTTTTTTTGGGGGAAGAAAACTCACACATCTATTTGTTCTCACGCCAACTTCAACTGTCGCCGTTCCAAAGGTTGAGGACATACTAATAGACTACAACCTTTAGGGTGATCCTTTTGGGACGGATTCACATTCACCCTCTCATCAATTGATGAAATTATTTCGATGGACACAAAATCCATGAAAACAAACTCATTGTCTTATTAGTTATTACCCATTTCTTATTAGTGCAATAGTACTGTAAATAAACCAAATTGTACATTAAAAAATTCAAGGTCAAATCAATGGTAAGTTTGCACAAATTCGTTAATTTAGGAAATAAGTTGATTGTGAAGGCAATTAAGACAGTTGGGTACTGTAGAATCATGAAACGATTGGTGGGCATTTATGACATTTCAATTTTCCGGGAAAAGATATTTCCTTTCCAGTAAAGCCTGAGTGACTTGAAATTCCAGATGTATCTCTCCAAAAATCAAAAGCCATCCCAAAACATTGTTCCCATAAATTCAAAACAAAAATAAAATTTCATTGAATTCGATAAATTGATAGAGGAAAACACCAACCTGATCACCAAAGAAGTCGACCAACGCCATATTCCGCCGGGAAAATGATTCTTTTGCAGTCCAAAGTTCATGAATTTGTCTGAAAGATTGCGCCCCTGTATATAGGCTGGATAAAATTGCGATGGCCAACACATACCTGTAATTCAATTTCATATTTCATTCATATTTAACATACAACAGTCCGATATTTTGAAGAATCAGACACACATATACATACATATCATTCAAATGTATATATAAATATATTCGTTTAGGGACCTTTATTTTTCATGCCAAGTCTATAATTCACTTCATATTCAATATATAAAAATTCGAAATTTTAGAGGATTCCAAATTATATATCATGAATATATTTATGTAGAATGGTGAAAATGAGTGATTGATTTTACCTATATTCTTCATATTTGTCGAAATCTTTCCAATCACCATGTTGATTAGTGGCCATGATAATGAAAGCGAGCAGAGAGAAAATCAACCCCAATCCACGCAACGCTAGAGACCCTTTCTTCAGAAAATCCTCTCTCTTCCATCGCCTCACGATCTCCGTCACCCCTTGCCCGCCTTGCTCAGTCGCAGGCGTCTGGTTCTCTACGTCTACAGACGGTGGGGCCGACGGCAGAGGCTTCCCCGGCGATTTCGGAGCCTTTTCCGATGCTGGGTTGTCAAGATTCGACATCTTCGGTTGATTTCGAGCGTTAACTGTTAACTGTACGAAGAAAACTACGCTTGATGTTGAAGAAATATCGAAGAAGAAGAAGATAGGACAAGTTGTAGTTTTGAGTTTTGACGAGTCCGTGAAGACAAGAAATGAGAATTATACTTTAATGACAACTTAGCAGTTTGTGTATATATATATATATTTAATATATGTACCCACCCTGTTCAGAAGCTACCATGAAATTAATCTAATGGTGACGTGTCAAACTACCAGGTGTAGGGTACAGTAATAAGAAAAATTATTAGCTGGTCCGGCAATCACAACATGGATAACAAAATACTTAATAAAACTATCATATTTACTTACTTGAAGATTTTGGTCAAAAAAATATATATAATTTTGAATCATTAAAAAAAAAATTTCAAAACCTAATGTCGGTAAAAAGAAAAGAAGAGGTGTGAAGAGAAAATAGGAATGAATGAACAAATTTCTTTTGTTCGTTAGAGATGATATAAGGAAACTTTTAAAAATATTCATCCGCTCAAAAATGGGCAGAAGAAAATAAGAAAGACAAATGAACTATTATAGAAGTTTTAAATTAAATACTATTTTAATTTATACAAGTTTTAAATTACAGTACCATACTATATAAATTACAATATTATAAATATTATTGGATATAATGATAAAAACAATTACATTTTTTTCTTTCCTTTTCTTCTAACGAATATAGTAAATTACAAGCTTATTCTTTTCTCTTCTATCCAATTGAACAAAAAGATAAAAATATATAGTGATGTCTCATCCATCCTATCTTTTCTCCTTGTTTTCTTTCCTAAAGAACAAAGCATTAAATCAAGTGTGGGAGTATGCAGTATGCACCATGTAGTACCCACAAAAAATGATTAAAAGCTCACATTTGTAGATGATTCACATGTGTGAACAATTCCAGCCATCTGAAACAATACGGCACCCTATTATTACACCATATCAATTTACAAAATAACAAGAATAACTTTACCACAAGCGAACGAGTTAAGTGGGAGTGCTCTTTGGAGTAGGCCTTTTTTTTTTTTTTTTTTTTTTTCGTTTTATATAGCAAACTTTGTTTGACACGGTCCAAGGTCTAGAGGGTTCAGAACTAAAAATTGGCGAGCTATAGCAAAATAAGGTGGAGTGGACTTGAGCAGTTCGGAGTTATGGTCACTATTGTTTACATTATATTTGGAAGCATGAAATTAACATTTTAAATTTAGAATTAGAAAAAGATTAATTCGAACTTTAAAATTTATTTTCGTTTACTATAGATATCATGACAACAATTCCATGCTACAAATGTTCATAATCATAAATAATATTCGTTTTATTGAGTTGGATTCCTATTAAATTGAAGGGTGTTGTGCAAAACAGCAAACTAGAGGCGATTTCATAATTGGTTAAAGGCTCAATAGATGGATGGGCTGGCCCATGTAGGTTGAATTTTAGAAGCCTAGTCGACATAAATGAGCCTTAAGCCTAGTTTGTATCCTAAGGGTCGGCCTTAGAAAACTAATCTCCAAGCCCAAATTTTGTGCGCCATGTTGGACAACTTGATCTAAACTGTCAGCTTGGGCTCAGGCCCAGTTAGCCAATCTATTTTTGAGAAGCTACAGATATTTATGGGAACCATTGTTTAGACTTTAGCCTAGTGGTATAACATGGATTCAAATCTCAGAATTCAAAGCTTAAGTTTGTAGTTAATCCCACTTGTTCCTGCTGAAAATAAACTTGATTTTAGAATTTTAATAGTAATTAGTATTTTCAAGTATTTGGTATACATGATGCATGTATGCATTTCATGTTAGTGGGGTAGTAAATAGTCTTGATGGAGAAGGTTATGTAAAGACTAAGAGGGATGGAAATTAAGCCTCCTCCTAAATACTATGTTAGTAGGAGTTATGATACTATGGTTATGTTAGTGGGAGTTACGGACATTTAAATGTAATTGGTTATATATGTTTAATTCTATATAAACTCGTGGACCTATTTTACATGATAGTAGAGAATAAGATGATTAGTAAAAGTGAAATAAAAATATTTTCTTCCATTTTATTCTCTTCCGAAATATTGAGTGTTGTGTGTCTAGCCCACTTATTTCCAACAAAGTGGTATAAGAGCAAAAGCCAACAAAGTGGTATCAGAGCCAAGTTCCATATCAGATTCAGGTTTCATGTTCAGAGCCTAAACGATCCTGAAGGCCTGACAGAGTTGATCCTAGAAGTTTCAACATTTTGAGAAACACAGAGCCAAGTTTCATGTTCTGAGTCTAGACGACCTGAAGGCCTGACGAAGTTGATCCTAGAAGGTTCAACATTTTGAGAAAAACATGTTTCTCCTTACTTATGATGTTGAAAAGGGAAAAATGTATTTTCTTAGTGAGAAAATGATGTTTTTTAATTACAAGAAAATGAGAATCATCATGACTTCATACCTCAAAATATGTGATTTATGGAATGTTGTTAGAAAAGAGCCAAAGAATAGCATGTCTAACAAGCTTCGTGTGAAAAAAAAATATAAAACATTGGTAGTATTGCAAAAGGTAATACATCAAGAAATTTGGGAGTATTTTGAAGAGTACAAAACCCCATGTTGTGTTTGGAAGATGCTCGAGACCATCGTTTCTAATCATAGAGGTGAATCACTACCCATGGAGTATTGGGTACAATGCTTTGAGGATGATAAGTTTACGAAGGTTGATTATGAAAGTTTAAATGACAAATTTATGGAGAATGAAGATGCATACAACATAAATGAAATTGAAGAAATTGAAAATTTAAAAGTTGAAGGCCAAAGTGAAATGATGAATAAGGAAGAGATAAAGAAAGGTGTTGAAGAGGAGATTGAAAAAGTGAAAGAGATTGAAGGGGAAAGAGAAGTTAAAGAAAAAGAAAGTGCTAAAGAAGAGGCAAAAGTTGATGAAATTGGTGAGTTAACAATTTCAGGTATGGTTCTAAATTCGAATTTCAAATAAGTTAGATATAACTTATTTGATAAAATATTGATTTTTTCATATTTATCTCAACTAGAAAACAAAATCAAATATTATGATAATTATGTTCATAATGTGGAGAATGACAAACTTCACTTAAAGAAAGTTGTTCCAAAGAAGTTTGTGATTGAAGCTCAAGATGATAAGAAATTCTCAAATTATTTTTTAAAAAATAGTTTAGAGAATTTTGTAATTGACACAGGTTGGGTGAATATGGAGTTATTTTTTTACTCTAAAGAAGAAGCATATGTGAAGTTGAAGAGCCAAAAAAAATTCAAGAAAAAAAAAAAGATAGATGATGCATTTGTATAAAGAGGATGATATATGATTATGTAAAGATATCAAATAAACATTTGAAGATTTTTCACAAGCCATATACATTAATGAAAATGGCCAAGAAGATTGTTGTAGTTAAAGGAGGTGGAATTCAAGACAAAGTAACAAACTTTTTATCGAGCCCCCAAAATCAATAAGAAGCTTACTTTCAAGTTACAAAATCAAGTTTAAAGGGGGTGTTGAAATATTTTAGTAGTAATCAGTATTTTCAAGTATTTGGTATACATGATACATGTGTGCATTTCATGTTAGTGGGGGTAGTAAATGGACTTGATGGAGAAGGTTATGTAAGACTAAAATGTATGGAATTAAGACTCCTAAATATTATGTTAGTGAGAGTTATGCTACTAATGATTATGTTAGTGGGAGTAATGGGAGTTATGGACATTTAAATGTAATTGGTTACATATGTCTAATTCTATATAAACTTATGTAATAGACCTATTTTATATGAGAGTATAAGAATAAAATGAATTAGTAGAAGTGAAATAAAAATATTTTACTCCATTTTATTCTCTTCCTAAATATTGAGTGTCGTGTGTTTACTTAGTCCAACAAAGTGGTATCAGAGCAAAAATCAACAATTCCAACGCCATCGATTAACAAGAAACAGACGGCATAATGATCTTTTTATTATTATTTATTTATATACCATTCTTGCTGTGTAAATTATAATATTTTGGCTAATTAAAATTGAATGACTACAAGATTCATTTTGTTGTACAATAAAAAGACATCCCTATATGTATAAACAACTAAATCGCTCAAACTTGATTAAATAAGTTGAACTTTTTGGTAAATATAAGGGTTAAGTGCAAAAAAACCCTTGATATATAGGGTTTGTGCAAAACTAGTCCCTACTTTTTGAAATGTGCATGTTAGTCCATAAAATTCAAAAAATGTGCAAATAAGCCCCTCTGACCTTTTTTTGATAAAAACTATATATGAAAAACTCTATTTTACCCTTTTGATTTCCATTTTGCCCCTCACCCATATGTGCATGAAGATGGGCAATGCCCATTTTTGCAGGTTAAACCCGTTTCTATTATCAGTCAAATCTCACACATATATACTCTATATCTTTCTCAATTTGTCTCTCTCTCCTGTTCATGATTTTAGGGCCTTTGTTCATCCTCAGCTACCTCGACGGAGATTTGATTCCACCACTCACCCATATCTTTGTATTAAATCTGAAAAGCATTGCTCTATATATAAAACGAGTGTGTATTTATTTGATTCCACCGCTCATCTATATCCTAGACAGATGGGAACCAATGCTTTCTTTAGCTGGCAAAGAATCAATTTTTTTTTCCTCTTTTTTTCAACCACAAGCCTTAAACCAGTTTGTACTTTAGGCAATGGTAACCGGATCTTCCTTTGGACGAAAAGAGCAATACTTTAAAGATGTAAACAACATTAAAGTAAAGTTATTGAAGATGTAAACAACATTAAAGTGGGCATTCAACGCTGTCTTCAACATATTCACCCCCACATACTCAATTCAGAACCTAAGTTATAAATGATTCAAGAATTCTCTTTCAGACCAAATGTGCAATGTACTCTTGAATCACCAAGTACAGGTACACCACTATCTCCAAAAATCATCATGGCCGTGGTCACCACCGCCGTGAGCCACTAATCATGAATATGCCGTCGCCGTGAACCACCTCACCGCCGTGATTAAACCTGAAACTCGCCGCGAACCAACCTCGCCGTTGCTGTCGGAGTTACTGCGATAGCGCGTCAGATCTACTCGCACCAACAACAGAGGCGCGTCACGTTCACGCTTCGCCCTCAA